CAGCAGCTGCTCGATTCTCGGCTGCAGATTCAGGCCTGCCTTCCGGCCCTTTCCGAGTGCCAGCAACTTTCCCAGGCATTGGAATTGTCGTGGTCGACAAGCAGCCCCTTTATCCCCTGAGCAAAGTGTCCGTTGGAGGGACAGATGTGAAGCCGGGGGGCGTGTGGGTCATCTAAGTGTCGGCCAGGACAGGTGCCAGGCGCGGTGGGCACCTCTGACGCTGGGTTGGTGCTTGTCTCTGTAACGAAGAGGGACGTTTGCTGCAGAAAACGCGCCTCACCCGGACCTTGGAGGCGCGAGAGGCCGCGTGGAGCAGAATCCCTGAGAACAGGGAGACGGAGCCACGGGCCCAGAGCCCAGGGCGGCAAGTCCGTCTTCTCAGCAGGGAAGACGCCCTGCACGTGGCGGACAGACCCAGGTTTCCTGACGGATTTGCCTGAGCCTGAACCGCTGGAAGAATCTAGGCCGACCTGCCTCATGGAAAGTCTGTGCCTAAGACATGGGTTTGCCCTGCCCTGTGTCATCCTGTCCTGACCTGACCTGACCTGACCTGAGGACGTGGCCCCACCCGTGGCCGGGAGGAGGGCGGGGACTCTCCGGCCCTGGCCTGTGTTATGAGAAGCCTTTCTTGGTGGAATGGGGTCCCCGCCCGCGACCAGGACCTGCCGTCCCTGGGGATGTCACCAGGACCCGACGCGGGGCCTGGTCTACTGGGCCCGTCGCAGGGAGGCCCGCTGGCTCCCACAAGCCCTGCTCCCGCTTGAGCCCCTGAGGGCCCTGCAAATGCAGAGCCCGGGGCGGGCTCAGTCACTACCCTGCCTTCCAGGGCCAGCAGAGGGGAGAGGCTTGGTGGGAGTGAGCCCAGGGAGCAGGGAGCCCCAGGGCTGACCCCACGCCTGTGCGGCGTGGAGCGCGTGGGGTGGCCCCCATTGCCGTCGTGTGGGAGGAAAGTGAGGCTCGGCCCCGCCTAGACGGAGCGCGGACTGTCCCACTCGCCTCAGGAATAAGTGTGCCTTGCCCTCCAGAAATGACAGTAAGGACAGGCCTCCCGAGACCCCCAGCTTGGAGCCACAGCCCGTGAGCAGCTGGTGGCTGCAAGCCATGTGGCTCAGTGGCACTGGGGCTACACGGCCCTGTTCGCCCCAGGGCCTCCCCCCGAGGGACACCCGGTGGTGCACAGACCTCTGTGATCCAGGCTGCGACCCCCTCTTCCTGTCGGCACCCCGACCCCAAATGCAGCGCCCGGCTGGCTGGATTCTGTGGGTCAGCGAGCTGGGCAGGGCCTGGACACGACAACGTACACACTTATGGTTTGATGCGGCGTCTGGGGGCTCCTTGGAGAGGCTGCCTTCGGGGCAGGCTTGGCTTCCGGACTCTCCAATTCCCAGAACCTCGAGCTGGCAAGGCAGCTACGCGTGGGCTGCGGCTCCTGGGCCCCCCGGCTGCCTCGCTTGGGCGCTAGGACCTGGGCTGGGGACGGAGCCCTGACCCTTGTCCCCAGGGTTTGTCCAGCAGCTGGGCTCCCCGGTCCCTGACCGGGCATTTGCCTGGCAGAGCGTGTCCCCACCGCGCCTGCTGGGGCTGCGTGACTGGGCTTCTGCCACGGAGGGAGGCCAGTGGCCGTGAACCCTGAAGCACTTGGTCTGAGGAGCAAATTCAGGCTTCGACAAGGAGTGTCATCAGGTCCTCGTGCGGGGGCAAGGGGACCAGATGTGATGGCCGGAGCAAGGGCCCCGTGGCTTGCTGGCTGCGGGAACTCAGTGCATTCGTCTCCTCTGGAAAGTGTCGTCCCTTCTGCCACCAGAGAAGACAGGGAGCCTGGGGAGGTGGCCATGGATCAGTTCTTAAGAGAAACAACCCCACGTGCACACACCACACAGGCTCACACACCACACAGGTCATACATACACACACATGCGCACGTGTGTACCGTAGATATCACACATGCAGAGATGCACATAACACACACACACTCACGCATGCACGCCCACACCCTGCAATGCACGTATACATCACGCGTGCACACACGCACGGGGCATGTGCACGCACACCATCGAATCGAAGGAGACTTTTCAGAGTTACGTCCTCAATGATGCTCGTGTGCTCTTGTGCATTTGCAGGCCACGTGGAAGGAAGGCGTGGGGGGGTGTCTGTTTGGAGGGCGGTGGGCCCTGTTGGGGGTGTGTTGGGTGGTACCTGGGGGCTCTGGGAGGCTAAGGTAAGCAGCACGGACCCTGCCCCGGGGTGAGGGGAACTTCAGGTCTGCGGGGAAAAAGCCAGTGCGAGGCGGGTGCCTGGGGTCTGGATTCTGGGCTGAGCCCCTGCCGGTCAGATGGCTGTTCCTGCCCCCTGGTCCCCGTGAGGAAGGTGAGGCCCGAATCCAGGGCTTGCTGGGCTGTGCGGACAGTGACGGCCCTGGAAGTGTCCAGGCCAACACAGTCCCAGTGTGACCTTCTCTCCTCCTGGAAGGGCAGTGGGGAAACGGGGTGGAGCCCTTAGTGCCTGGGTTAGGGGAGTGGGCCCGGCTGGGAAGCCCTGGACGGGGCTCGGGGGCACGTGTGCAAGGGTCCTGTGGGCATCAAGTTACAGATGCGTGAAAAGCTTTTCTGTGGAATTTGGAACCATCTTGCAGACGTGGTAGCTCCTAAACCACGCGGCCCCCAGTCCATGGAGGCTTCTGTAAGGCATCCGACAAACCAGCCGGGGAGAAGCCCCCGGAAGAGCAGGGGGCGTCCGCTCCTCAGCCGCACCCTCGGGGCCGGAGCAAGCTCTACCAGTCACGTGGCGTTAACAGCAGAAAGGGACAATGCACGACATGGCAGCCCGGACGGGGCCGTCCTCTGAGACCCACCAGGCCCCGGGGCCTGAGAGAGGGTTCTGTGTGCCCGGCGGGGTCCCCGGGGCCACTTGGGGCTCTGGGGCGGTGGACGAAGACGGCATCGAGCGCCACCGGCTCCACGTCTCACCCACTTTCCCCAAACACCTTGTCCCAAACTCCTGCGAACACGGCCCAGCCCTCCCCCAACAGCTGCATGTTCCCTTTGTTTCCACAGGACGACTACAATTTCTGCCTGTTTACACCTTTTATTTTTGTTTTCTTAAAGTTTAAATCCTACCTAGTTGACATACAGTGTAGTATTGGCTTCAGGAGTAGAGCCCAGTGATTCATCGCCTCCATACGACACCCAGGGATCGTCCCAGCTAAGGGGCCCCCTTAGCGCCCCTCCCCCATCTAACCCTCCCCCCTTCAGCAACCGCAGGATATTCTCTGTATTTAAGCGTCTCTCATGGTTTGCCTCCCTCTCTCTTTTTATCTTATCTTTCCTTCCCTTCCCCATGTTCATCTGTTGTGTTTCTCAAATTGCTCACATGAGTGAAGTCATATGATACTTGTCTTTCTCTGATTGACTAATTTCGCTTAGCATAGTGCCCTCCAATTCCATCCACGTTGTGGCAAATGGCAAGATTTCATTCTTTCTTGTCGCTGACTCCTATTTCCTTGTATATAGATACCACGTCTTCTTTACTATTCAAATGCCAATTGACATGTGGGCTCTTTCCATACTTTGGCTATTGTCGATAGCGCTGCTGTAAACATTGGGGTGCGTGTGCCCCTTGAAATCAGCATTTTTGTATTCTTTGGATAAATACCTAGTAGTGCTATTGCTGTGTCATAGGGTAGTTGTATTTTTAACTTTTTGAGGAACCTCCATAGTGTTTTCCAGAGTGACTGCACCAGTTTGCATTCCCACCAGCCGTGCGGGAGGGTTCCCAATTCTCCGCATCCTCACCAGCACCTGTTGTTGCCTGAGTTGTTAATGTCGGCCGTTCTGACGGTGTGAGGTGGTATCTCATCGTGGTTCTGACTTGCATTTCCCTGATGCTGAGTGATGTTGAGCATCTTTTCATGTATCTGTTGGCCATCTGGATGCCTTCTTTGGGAAACGGTCTGCTCCTGTCTTCTGCCCATTTCTTCACTGGATTATTTTATTTATTTATTTGAGAGAGAGAGAGAGAACACACGTGCATGTGAACAGGGGAGGGGCAGAGAGAGAGAAGGACAGAGAAAATCCCAAGTAGGCTTCATACTCACCTGGAGTCCAATGTGGGGCTCAACCCTGGGTAAACCCATGATCTGAGCTGAAATCAAGAGTCAGACACTCAGCTGGCTGGGCACCCAGGCGCCCTGGGGTTGTACCAAGAGCTGTACATATTTCTTTTTTTTTTTTTTAACATATTTAAAATTTATTTCTGAGAGAGACAGAATCTGAAACAATCTCCAGGCTTTGAGCTAGCTGTCAGCACAGAGCCCGACGCAGGGCTCGAACCCACGAACTGTGAAATCATGACCTGAGCCGAAGTCGGCGCTTAACCAACTGAGCTACCCAGGTGCCCCAGCTGCACGTATTTCGGCATATGATTCGATGAGAGGATTACGGCTCCCGTGACACCCACCCTGCCAGGGGAACAGACACCCTGACACCTCCCAGGGACCCATGTATCACTTTAGTTGCTCATTTTTATTTATTTTTTTGTGGTAAGAACACGTGACATGGGCTCCCCTCTTAAGAAATGCACAAACCATGTTGTTACCACAGGCACTTTGCTGGACAAAGATCTCTGGAACTTAAAATATAATCTGCTTTTAGGAAATTTCTGCCTGGTTTAAATTTAAGGAAGATTCTAGGATTTTATGCATTATCAAAAATTATTTTTTATGTTTTATTAAAATGTAAAATGTTTAACTCAAAGCAATGCATCCTTGTGGTTGCCCTTCATGATAACACAGTGAGCCCGACGGCCCTTCTGCCCTGAACTAGAACGTAACCACCCCTGTGTCCACCTGTGTGGTCTCTGCCTCGTCCCTCTTACTAGGGACTCCTCCCTGAGCCTGGTGTCATGATCTAATCGCTTTAAAATGTCTCATCCGGTACGCACATATGTCTGAGCATCACGTAGCCATTGAAAGATGGCGTCACACTCAGGGCCTCGTCCAGAGATCGGTGACACAAAGCAAAGGTCTCGGAAGGAGCCCCGATGGAGGGAAATTCCGTCTGTGACAAACTTCAACACGGCAGTGAGAGAATGTTTCACCTACGAGATGCCCTGCAGTGGTGGTGAGTGTGAGCACGCAGCAAACATCCTGGGAGAGCTGTGAGGGCCTGCCCGCAGCGGGTGGGGGTTGTGGGGCAGACAGCAAGCCACGGGCCAGAAAACGGACTTGTTAGGTGACAAAAGACCTCCCAATAAAAAGGAGCCATAACTGAAGGCAACGGGTAAACATATTTGCAAAGTTGTGAGAGGAAAGGTTAATATCCACAGTCTACCAAGAGATTTAACACATTGATTAGCTGAAGACACACCCCCCGACAGAAACAGAAGGGTGCGGGGTGGAACGGCGATCGATGGCAAAGATCCAGACGGCACCGCGACGGCATCGTGGGATGTGAGCCCACGTGTACCAGCTAGAGCCACGAGGCGTCCTGGCCACTGCCAGGGGCCCTCACAGTCCTGGAGGGTCCAGTGGTGAGCACGAAGGGGTGCAGGCAGAGTGACGAGCGGCGAGCACACCTCTCTTCGGGGCGCGTCTGCCTCGACGACGCGGAAGGCAGGCTGGTCGGCTGGGGTGCGCTGTCGTCGGGGCCCCGTGCCCACTGCACCAATGAGCAGACCTGTGCCAGGTGACTTGGGAGCAGGCTTGGTGTGGAAACCCAAGACCCCGCAGAGTTACGCAATGCGGTTCTCTCTTTTAGACAACGGTGCGCTCTATACATGCCACTCTCATACTTGTGTACATGTGCACACGCGTGTGCATGTACGTGTGGAATCGTGACTCACAGAAACAAGGGAAAGCCTGGCAGATACAGGCGTGGCTGTGCTGATGATTGGGGTGCAGGTGGGGTTCGGGGAGAGGGACTGAAGGCAAACACAGCCTTTCTGAGAAAAGACCATGGCCGTGATAAAGCCTCCACAGTCGTATTTTCCATAAAAATGGTGTGTGTGTGTGTGCGTGCGTGTGTGTGTGTGTGTGTGTGTGTACAGGTGCATGACTGATGGTCATCGACGTGTTAATTGTACTTTTTCCATAGGATTATGGATTTCTGGTGATTTTCCTTTCTTTTTTGTACCTTAAAACTTGTTAGAATTTGTATACAAAAAATTGTTCTAGATTATTTACCCAGGGAAAGAGCAATAAGGCCATTTTACCGTTGGGAAAAACAGATATACACAGGTGGGCTTTGTGAGGTGATGGCTCAGCGCGCAGTGGGAAGGCAGTGACCTGCGCGCGATCACGGGCTCAGCCGTGTGGACGGACACGGAAGGCGCCGTCCTCGCGGGGCTCGCCATCAGCAGGGACGAGGCCACGTCTCAGGAAGCTTGTCCTGAGTCATCGTAGAACACATGTGACAAGCCCAGGACCTCGTTCCTACGTGTGAGGCCCCTGAACTGACGGCGTGCCACCGCCTGGTTTAGGACCAGCCGGGGACCCTGAGGCTTTCCCGTCTTCCTGGGCCTCAAGAAAACCTGCTGTTCACAGGAGGGTGTTCTCTTCCCTGTGCCCACGGGCCAGAGGCCTTCAGCGGCTGCTGTGCTCTACTGGGAACTCTTACATCACACAGAAGGGGAGCAGCTGCTACATTTTATTGGGACTTTCTGGGTGTCGTCAATTTTTAAAATCCCATTTTCTATATATCATTAACTTATTAGTAGTGAAAACAACCACTGGACACCGTACGAAATGGAGGATTAGTTGAGCCAGGCACTAAAGAAGGCGGCCAGTTTTGTGCCTCTAATTACCAGTGGGCTCCACGGAGTAAGGAACTGCATCATTCTTCTGGGGGCGTTAGGCCTGACGCACCCTGCGGCCACCGTCAAGGGCACGCGGCACCTGGTCCTGATTGCTGTTCCAGGCGCACGTGCGGAAGGGCGACCTGGCCAGCAGTGGGCGGGGCCTCGCTGGCGAGCGGCTGTGTGCATCTGCTTGTGCACGAGTGAGAGGCTCAGAGAGGCCAGAGGGCGTGGCTGAAGAAGCACAAATCACGCGGGTTAGAGTGGGGGCCGGGTGGCAACTTGCTTCTGAGCAAATATCCAAACAGGATTAGACTGCTTTTCAGTTAAATTAACCAAAAAGCTTTGGTTTGAGCTCATGTCCACCTGTGGCTGCAGACGGTATTGACAGCGTGTATTCTGGACTCAGACTCTGTCCTCCTTCCTGGCCCCTCCATTCTTTCCTTCCGTGGCCAAACGCTAACTGCAACTAAATCTTGTTTCCCCGACGCCAGCTGCGGACAGCCTTGTCTCATGAACACGGCCACGCGGCCACATCCCCAGCCACGTGGCAGCGCTGTGAGATGTGGTCATGAGATTTCTGCAGCCCAGCGCCAACAGGGTCGCACCCGTCCTGACGCCCTGGCGCTGCCACGTGTCCTCCCGCCTCGCATGTGAGCTTGGAGCGCAGCCACCGTCTACTCCCCAGGAGTCGGCAGGGTCAGTCCCTGTGAAGCCGAGATAAAGCCGAGTACCTCCTACAAAGTGCGGACTGCAGATAAAGAGCAAAATCTGGAAGATAATGGGTTTGCCTGACATTGTCGGGCCTGTGAGTCATAACAAGTCTTCACAAGACGCAGGAAGTCCAGCTTCCCCCTTGTCCATTATCCCCTTTAAAGCTCAGGGTGGAGCCTTCTTGAAATTATAACGGGTGCCAGTTGTTAACTCAGGACAAACACCTCCTTTTTATTACCTTTCAGAATGAACAGGAAAGAAAAATTTTCAAAAAACATGAAAGCGAAAGGCACGAAACCTAGGAGTGAAAATACACATCCCTCAACAGACCGCAGTGAAGGATGCAAATGGCGTCTGCTCCCACCGACACTGCTCAGGCTTCGCGGGCTGGTCACCCGGGGTCGCCGCCACCCTGCCCCCATGTAACACACACTGCAAGTCTCCACAAGCCATGGCGTGTTCTTAAGGCTCCAGATCCAGAAGGCTGTGGTCAAGATCAGTCCTTGAGACAAGCTAAAAGGTGGAAGATGAACAACCAATATGGAGCAAGAGGGGATGGAGGGAGCTGTATGTGTGTGCACGTGTGTGTGCACGTGTGTATGTGCACACTTGTACGTGAGTGCATGTGCGTGAGTGTGCACGTGTGTGAGGTGTGGACTACACGCAGACCTCTCCTGCCCGGGCCAGCAGGTGGTCCTGGCTTGTGGATGAGGGCGGGGCAGACAGGTGTAGGGGGCTGGTGGGGTGCGCACCTCCCCACGCGCTGCCACAGGTAAGATCCTGGGGCTCACGTTGCCACGCGGGGCTCAGACTCAGGTTGCTGTCGAAGCAGTGCTGAGCTGGAAACCTCAACAATCTGATACTGGCAACAAATGTTCGGTGCCTGGTAATAACTGCTCAGCTGGCGTTTGCTCACAACCTGTGTGTGTGAGCTGATTCTGCACACGTCTCCTCCCTCACCTCCAGCGTGCGAGGCAGGCGGGAGGGCAGGAGGCCCGGCTGTGCGGTGGAGGCAGGACGTCACAGTGCAAATGCCCTGGGCTTCTGCGGGAAAGACTGCGGTGTGCCCTCTGTGTGACTAAATCTGCTGGTTCTATGGGGCGGCGTCTGCCTGACCAGGCTGTTGGAAGGGTTCTGGAAGATTCTGTGTTTGAGTCTGACCCCTGATGGATACTAGCTCTGTCACACGGCCAGCGAGTGTCAGAGCGACGGCCCAGACGCCCGCGGCCCGGACGCCCACGCCCGCCTTCCCCGGACGCCCGCGGCCCGGACGCCCACCCCTGCCTTCCAGATGTTCCATCGGAACAAGTTCTGACACAGGATCCATGTGCTCCACGGATGCAGACGTGTCCTGGGCAGGTGGCCTGGAGGGAGGAACAGGGAGGCAGATGCAGTTACAGCTCTGTGTCATGGTGATGACACGCTGCACCATGAGCAGTTGGCGGCAGAAGGGGGTCTAGCAGGTCGGCAGCTCAGGGGTCACGCTCACTATGAGCCATGGAGAGAAAGTAGCCTAGACAGCTGGAGAAACGTCAAGGCTGGAGAAGGTCCTGGAAGCCACCAGTGTGTGTGTGAAGCCTGGAGCTCGAGAGGTCAGTGCAGGCATGTGTGTGTGTGTTCAGGGACATGTGCAGGTGCACGTGTGTGCTGGCATGTGTGCAAGTGCGTGTGCAGGCGCATATGTGTAGGCATGTGTAGGTTTATGTGCAGGTGCACTGTGTGCAGGTGGGTGTGGGCGTGTGTGCAGGTGAGTGCACGTATGCACAAGTGTGTGCAGGAATGTGTGCGTGTGTGGGGGCGTGTGCATGTGCACACGTGCATGTGGTGCGCTGTGTTCTCTAAGTAGTGTCCTCCGCGGCTAGAACACCACTCCACCTTCAGGAACAAACCACTGAGGGACACAGGCTGTTTTCGTTTCTTCTGTGTGGCACTTGGCACCTCATGGATGTCGAATACGTGTTTTCAGTGTACAATGTGCGTGTTCAGGGGATGTGTATCTAGGACCCCAGGTCTGGAGTCCATGGTATGTTGTGAAAAGTACTAAATGTTTTCCTCAATACCTGCTGTCCTTTGGAAGGGCACAAAGGTCCAAGGAGACAGAACCGTGGCCGCGGTTTGTGCACACGACACCACACGGCTGCTTCCTGGCGCCATCCCAGCCCGCTGGTGTGGGGGTGTTTGTGGGTGTGCACCCCCTTCGTCGCTGCCCGCTGATTCTAGGCTTGTCTCTTGAGACCTCCATTCTCACCCTCTTTTTCTGGTAGCCACTGCTTCTAGAAGGCAGGCAAGTTCAGTATTTGCTGCTTTGAATGGAATTGCATCATTTCAAGGTTAGGAAGAGCATGACCTTGGGATTTTCAATATTAAGTTTGGCTTTGGGAATTAAACACTGATACCAGGCAAACATTCTTTCTCTTGCTGTTGGAATTCCCCAGTTACTCAGATGAGAGTAAGTGCCAGCAAAATGCCTCGAAACGTCATTTGTGTCTCTAAGTGCATAAGGTAGTGTCACAACGTGTGGGTAGACCTGAACATGGGTCCTGGTTACAACCTCGCCTGGCACGGGCTGACGGAAACTTCTCTACTCATTGCCTATCAGTCACTCTGTTTCCAGCTTTGTTACCAGAACTTCCATCAAAAACCATCATTCCAGTCCACAGGAGACCACCCGTGTGGATGACACAGAAAACCTCCGCCAATCACTTGAGCGCTTCTCTCGAACCCTGAGGGTGAAAGCCACGTGCACAAGTTTGCCGCCAAGTGCTTGTGTCTTTGAGTAGCCCGCCTCTGCCTGGTGTTTGGGAGCCTGGACCTGCTCCCAGGCATTTCCTGCTGCGAACGCCGTGAACCAGACTTTGAGGTAAGTGGAGGCCGGCTGGCTGCAGCTTACGTGGTCCGTGGGTCCCAAGCCCGTGCCTCATCCCCAAATCCCCTGTGCCTCACACGAGGGAGGGGCACTTACCGGGGATTGTGCTCGGGGCTTGTGCTAGTGCTGGGCGGGTCTGCTCCATGGGGGCACCGATGCATCGCGTGGATCTGGGCATTTAGTGAACACGTCAGGCCACGGGCGTGCACACAATGCACTCTGGGCCCGCACTCACACACACATTCCATAAATGGGACGTGACATGGGGCACGACCTCCTTGGTCGTGCGAGTCCCGAGCGGGGGAACTGTCAGGAAGGAACTTGAGGGACAAGTGGCCCCAACAGCCAACACCCCCTCCAGACCCTGGGAAGGGGCAGAGCTCTCAGAGGGCATCTAACTGCCTGGCTCATGGGCCCCCCACCGTGGACTTTCTACTGCAGTGCCACGTGTACAAATCCGTGAAGGCCTCCCTCACCTGGGAACGCTGCCTCCAAAGCAAAGGGGACAGGGGGCACGTGAGCCATTCACACCTGGGAAGCAGGAGCCCCACGAGTTATTAACAGCGAGGCCGACGTGCGGTTGGGCCCACGTCCCCCTCAGGCCCCGGCCGCCAGAACCCGCGGAAACTTGGACAGCTGAGACCAGAGGGGATTAGCCATGGCCTAAAGATGGCGCGCTCATGTTAACTAGACTGAATGGGGCGATCACTTCTCAGTAGATACCCATGTTGACTCACATACTATACGCCTGAAATTAATATGTTATATGTCAATTATACCTCAAATAAAAATAAGTCAACAAAAAAGATGGGACATTTGTCAATCTTGTTTCATCTGGTGATGGATGCGACTGAAGTGGGGGCCAGACCCCAAGTTTACGGTTTCCTGGCCCTTTTCAGGCTACAGTGAAACAAGGCACATGTTTCCCTGTGAGGCCCAGATTGCGAGTCGAGCTGGGGAGTCCGCGTGAAGTGCTCATAGGGTCCCTGGAACCCCGAGCACAGGGGCAGGAAGCGGCACCAGGGGGTTCGCAGCTGGGGACCCGAGAACCTCCGTGGGAGCCGCCAAAACGGAGCCCGCAGCCCAGCCCCGCCCGGTGGCGGCTGGCGGAGACAGCACGGCTGGGACGCACCCAGCAGACAAACCCTGCAGGGGGAGGGGGCAAGAGCCCCGCCCAGGAGGAAGGTCAGGAGGAAGGTCAGGAGGAAGGTCAGGCAGGTGAGTGGGGAGATGGAGCCCCAGTCCCCCAGGAGCCTCCACACGCCGCCGCCGGGCAGCGCTCTCCGCCCAGGGGCTGTGGCGGGGACGCGGTGGCCAGGCCGGCTGCGTGGGCCCATCGTGGGCAGCAGTGGGGGGGGTGGCGGGGGAGGGAGGGAGAGGCGAGGGAGGGGAGGTTCACCCGAGCCCAGGAAGTTTGTTTTACAGCGAGTTTTCACACATTTGTTTAATCTGTTACCAAGGGTCATGGGTCAGGTGGCCGCTCCTCTCCTGCAGAGCCCGTTCCCAGCAAAGGCCGCCTGGGAAGGAGGAAGAGAGCACTTTCCAGAGACTCAGCAAAGAGGAAGTGCCCTGGACACGTGGCCTGAGAGTGCTCCCAGGACGCAGGCGTTCACCCAGCAAGGTGCTGGGGTCAGGAAATTGCTCTCGCCCTGTGGCGGCTCTTCCGCCCTGTGTCCGCGTCGCTGGCGAGGCCCCAGAGAGAGAGCGCCCGGAGCCGCCTCTGGTGAGGCCCGGTCACCTGCAGCGGCTACGTTCTCAGCTGGGATTCCATTCTGATCAGTTAACGGCGGGGGGTGGGGGGAGATGCTTCTCCAGGTGGGGGAGGTAAGGGGCTTCTCCAAGCTGGGGGGGGGGCTCTTCTCCAACGTGATGAGGGTCTCCGGGTGGTCTTTGGCTGAACAGGTCAGTTTAAGTTTTGAAACCCCCTATACATCATGTTACGGTTTCTCTGAAAACATAAGTGCTTATTTTTTTTTTTAATATTTTTTATTTATTTCTAGGAGAGAGAGAGAGACAGCGTGAGCAGGGGAGGGTCAGAGAGAGAGGGAGTCACAGGCTGAAACAGGCTCCAGGCTCTGAGCTGGCAGTCAGCACAGAGCCCAACGCAGGGCTCGAACCCATGAACCACGAGATCATGACTCCAGATGCTACCTTCCAGACCATCACTGTAAGTCCGACATGTCTGATTTTTTGGTTACTTCAAACCTCTTATAAGGAAAACTTGTAAATCTCACAAAACATTCCTAATTAAACCATATTTATAAACTGATTTAATAAAGCTGATTCCTTAAACTGGGGTTTTTCAAGCACAGTGCTATTGTTTGGGTGGGTGTCCGTCTGTCAGCCGTGAGCCGTCTGTCTGCCGCGGGATATTCAGAGCGTCTTGTCCTCCACCCATAGATGCCAGAAACATTCGCGGTTGTGACAATAGAAAATGTCTGCAGACATCGGCAAATGTTCTGCCATAAATATTTAAACGCGATTAAAATGTATTAGCTAACCCCTAAGTATTTTCTTAAAATCACAAGTCTACTACCTCAAACGCATTTAAAAATCAAAGTACCAAAAGCCCCGTGACTGCAAAGGTTTGCGGCCCCTCGTCTGGGTGGGGAGACCAAGGCCGTGATGCTCCGCGTCTGGTCCCCAGCTGGCTGGGGTCCTGACGACCAGCGGCAGCGGGTGGCGCCCCCGGTCACCGAGGGCCTTCGCGGGGCTTCTGGTCGGTCTCGGCTCTGACGGGAGTTCAGGGTAGAGGTGAGAGATCCAGCCGAGACGGGAGAGCCCCGGGCTCCCGGGGCGTGACCACTGGCCACCCCTCCCACGTCCCCTGGGCCACGAGCGCCGGCCGCCCCAGGCTCGACGACCCTGGCCCGCGGCCTGCTTTCCTCAGCCAGTCTCCTCAGTGCCCTTCCCGCCCATGTGACCTTCTGAGCCAGACCTGCCGGGTCCACAACGTCACGGACACGCCTTGTCACGCCCCTTGCCCCTCCTGGGGCTGTCGGTGGCGCGTGACCGTGCACGGCTCCGTGGGCCCAGCTGTTCTCCCCGTGGGGCCACGCCGCCCGCCTGCTGCAGGCAGCCCTCCGCAGCTGGGCGCCTGCTCCCCAGGCCCCTGGAGGCCTCCCCCTTGGGACAACATGCCCTTCTAGGTACAGATGGACTTTCGCTGTGCAGCCACCCTCCCCGCTGGCTTTAGGGGGCTTCAGGGGAGAGGCTCACGGGAGACCTGGGCCCGCGTGGCTCGTCCTGAGTGAGAGCTCACACGAGGCAACGCCTTCCTTCTTCTCGGGTCAGGCGTGTGCTCTGATGTTTTCCTTTGGCTCCGACAGCGCTACCTTCTTTATCAAATGCTGCTCCGACGCCAAATGCGTTCCGCCAGTTCCCCCTTTTGCGAGGACGAGGTTCCCTACAGCACTCTTTTTACTCCAGTTGGCACAGCGGGCATCGAGTGTAGACTGCGATGTCACTGGCTCCTCCGCAATAGACCGTCCCTGACCTTCACCCCAGGCCGCCTTGTCCGGGCCCTCGCCATGCCCCCCTGCCTCTGCTGCAGGGCTGGGGCCCACCGAGCCCCCGCCTCCCAGTCCCGCCTCCTCGCAGCGCCCGGGCGCGAACTCCTCTCCTTTCTCCTCAAGTGAACACACGGGCTGCCCGGCTTGCAGACACTGCTTTCTCATTGGTCCTCCAGGGCGGAGGGCGAGAAGCGAGCGCTTTGGAAAATCTAACAGGCAAACGGGTCCCATCAAGGGCCGACCCTCATGACCTCATCTGAAGGTCATGGACGTGGGCTGGGTGCCTGTGCTCCCCAAATTCTCATGCTGAGGCTCTAACCCCGAGGTGATTGGGGCAGGGCGTGGGGCCTGAGGGGGCGCCGTGAGGGGGGGAGCCCTCGGGAACGAGTCTATTGTCCTTATGAAGGAGCCGCAGAGAGATACCCCCCTCCCTTCCACCATGTGAGGCCGCCTTCACCAGAGAGAAGACGGCCAAGCACGACAGCGGAAGGGGGCGCCCCGCAGGCCTGACCCGTCCGCCACCTCGCCTGGGACATCGAGTCTCCGGAACTGTGTGCCCAGAACTGACCATGTCAGTCCCTGACCTTGGACTTCAGCTTCCAAGCTGTGAGAAAGAGATGCCTGGCTTCTTTTGTTTGTTTTGAGAGAGACAGTGCGAGAGTGGAAGAGGGACGGGAGAAAAGAGAGACAGAGACAGAGATAGAAAGAGGGAGAGAGAATGCAGGGGAGGGGCAGACAGAGAGAATGAGGAGCCCTCTGTGCGGCTTGGTCGCACGTCCAAGAGATCGTGACCTGAGCCGAAATCAAGAGTCCGACATTTACCCGACTGAGCCCCCCGGGCGCCCCCACAGATGCCGGCCATTTAAGCCGCCAGCTCGCGCTGTTTGGTTATGCCGCTGAGTTCACGGAGATCACGGGTCTCCTCAGCCTGGAGAAAAGCCAGAAAGTCAAGAACCAGGGAGCCCGCGTGGCCCTAATGCCGTGTCTCCACTTGGAGCCTGCAGTCCCTTCCCTGCAAACAGCTGCGGCACCGGCGAGAAACCCGTCCTGGCATGTAAGAGGGGTAAGGGGGAGCTCTCCGCGCTGTGGGGAAGGACATGGCCAGGGCTGGCGGGGAAGGAGCCGCTTCCTCCTGGACCTGGCTGGGAATCAGGCTCCACCCTGGAGCAGAAAGTCCCATGATCCTTTTCTTTTTTTTATTAAAAAAATTTTTTTATGTTTTTTATTTATTGCTGAGAGAGAGACACAGAGTAAGCAGGGGAGGGTCAGAGAGGGAGACACAGAATCCGAAACAGGCTCCAGGCTCTGACCTGTCAGCACAGAGCCTGATGCGGGGCTCGAACTCATGAACCGTGAGATCACGACCTGAGCCGAAGTCGGACGCTTAACCGACTGAGCCACCCAGGAGCCCCAAAAAAGTCCCATAATCCTGACAACGTCAGACTTGGGGAGCATTCCCATGGCCGCTGCTGTGACCCACGGTCCTGGTAAATCCTATTCACAAGACATGCAGCTCCCTCATGGCCACAGTGCATCTGTGTGACACACAGACACACGGCAGACGCCGGCTGGACGAGAATCTCCTCTCCTTCTAGAAATCCCCTTTCCGGCCTTCTCCACTGTGGTGCGCTCTGGCTCCCAGCAGCGGCCTGCAGAGACGGCCGCCACCCCAGACTCTGATACATTGAGTGTGAACCAGTTCCCCCTGAAAACATAAAACCATGACAATGAATTTCTGAAGTGTCTGAACACTACAAGCTGTACCATAAAGACATCTTTTTTTTGTTTCTTTTAAATTGTTTTAAGGTTAATTTATTTAGTTTTGAGAGAGAGACAGAGTGTGACTGGGGGAGGGCCAGAGAGAGAGGGAGGCACAATCTGAGGCAGCTCGGGGCTCTGAGCTGCCAGCACAGAGCCTGATGCAGGGCTTGAACTCATGAACCCTGAGATCATGATCTGAGCCGAAGTCAAGAGTCAGATGCTTAACCAACTGAGCACCTTGGTTTTTTCTTTGTGTGTGAAACACAGTGGGTCTGAGCAAAAACGTCGCTGCTAGCCACATGCACCCCTGCACACAGCCGGGTGGCTTGGCGGGAATCACCAGGAGGACCACCCTGCCACGGTGTTCTCCTGAGGGCGCCGGGGCGTGAGGGGGGAGGGGCGCTCCAGCATCGCCACGCGGGCTCCTCGCTGTGACGCCGTCCACGGGCTTCCCCGCCCCCTGCCTGCGCTGAGCTGGGTGCTCGGCTGCTGACA